TTTAAAAATAAAATGCATATGTTTCAGAACTGTTTAGCCGTATTTACATTGATCCTTATGGTGGAAATTTACCTCGGGGTGCGGCCAAATTCAGAGGGCGGATTAGCCGTATTTACATTGAACCTTATGGTGGAAATTTACCTCGGGGTGCGGCCAAATTCAGAGGGCGGATTAGCCGTATTTACATTGAACCTTATGGGAAAATTTACCTTGAGTTGCAACCAACTCGAGTTGCAACCAGAGTCATGGAACGGATTAAGTTCGTAACTAGAGGTACCACTGTACCTTGGACTTAATTGCACAGTTAAATACCTTCGTGGGAAAAAGGACCGTTTAACTTTCTTAAGGGGACTAGTTGGTGGATTTTCTTAAACAAAAAGATAAGGGAAAATTGTGAAAGATCATGTGATTATAGAATCATGAAGAGCTGGATGGGTCTTAAGAGTTAAGGAAGAAAAAAAGAAAGGCTCTCTTATTTTTGTTGCTTTACCTTTTTGGATTACAAATTTAAGGAGAGAAATAGCTAATATTAGGAAATCAATGAAAGACGGGAGGAAAGGACCGTCAACAGAGCAAATAGAGATTATTCCAAAGAGTGTACAAAGGATGTTGGAAAAAATTGAACAGAATGTTGCAGCAGCAGTGGCAGTATCATTGATTGAAACACTTAAGAGAGATTTGATTTCATTTGAACGAAGAATGGAAGAAAGATCTGCAAACATGGAAGAAAAGATGAATTAAAAAAAATGAAGAACCTGCAATACAAATGAGTAAGACAGAAACAATAATCCAAAAGATGAAAAAAGATTTAGACAATGTGACACTACCAGATTTAACAGAGAAAGAATTTTGCCTGAGATTGAGAGTAGCTAGAAAACAACCTGGTGAAGACAGTAATGAGAGGGTTGCTGAAGCCCTAAAATTCATTTTTGAATGGGAGGAAGAAGACATAGCTGTAGAGACAGACAAGGTATACAGAATTAACACAAGGAATGAAAAATTAAGAACCGTACTAACCATACTTGTGCGCCTTGTCATGAAGACAAAAAAACAGGTTCTACAACAACATCTCAACATTAAGGTAAGGATTAATAATACCAGAATACTACATAAGAGAAAAGAATATAAAATTGACTTGTTTGATCAGGGATAAGATAATAAGTACTTTTATAAAACATTGGAAACCCTTTATGGACTTTTTGCTGAAAATGGACAGAAGTTTGCTGATGATTTCTAGATTTGCCGATTAAAAAGGGCTGACTATGAGAAGAAGCAAACTACATAATGTAATCTTAAAGGGGGTGGAGTGATACTAAGCTTGTCTGTAACTGCTGTAAAGATCAGAAGTTGCTTCTTTAAATATCTTTTTCTTTTTTCTTTTCTACACTTTTTCTCTCATCTTTATTAATCTCATTTTCTGTACTTTTTTCATGTTTTACTCATGCAAAAATCTCTAATAAAAATTATATTTTAAAAAAGGACTACAGTTTAGCAAATTAAAACTTAAAGAATACCAGGGTGGAACTTGTTTGTCCATAAATGGCAGTGTTTGCAGATAGCTCCCTTTGTCCCTGTTAGGCTGTCTGCCCAATCTGATCAAATTAAATCCATCCATCCATCCATCCGTCCGTCCGTCCATCCATCCATCCATCCATCCATCCATCCATCCATCCATCCATCCATCCAAAGCTAGCAAATTGAAAAGCAAAGTGCCCATCTGCAACAACCTAGTTCCATCTATTTCCAAACACGCCATTTAGGTCCCCACAAGCATTCTTAACAAATTAAAAAATGATAGGCTGTTGCAGCTTCATACTTTATTAGGGAACGTGTTCATCTGCTCAGAGAAAAGATAAAGTTAATATGAGATGATAGAGGGGCCAAAGGATGCCACAGAAAAGGTACCACAACCTCAATCTTCTGGTAAGAACTTGCTCACTCTGGTTGCCATTTTGCAGTAAGCAGAGCCCCCCTCCCACTACATGGTTGCTATTATATGAGAGCTCCAAAACGTTGCCTATCTTAAATGCCAGTACGCTGAGTTGCTAAATGATGGGAAAAGCTGTTTTTGGTCATCTGTATTTGTCTCCTAGCACAGAATCAAGTAATTTTCCAAAATGTTTAGCTAACGTGGGGGTGAGGGGGGTGACAGCTGCCCTATTAACGAATCCTCTATTAATTAACAAATTATTAAAATTAAGACTCTGAAACAAAAAGGGAGAGATGTTATCCTGATTTTAAAAGAGGATTTCTGTGAAGATTTTGGAATGATGTATGAATATCTCAAGATGTTCCTCGCAAAATAAAAGCCAACAATGCCTGTTATTTTAAACAGCTTTGCACTGTTACAAGAGAATTCCCATACCGATGTGAATAAATTAGTGAAACATCAACTTCACGTTTTTGGCACTTTTGGATCTATAAAAATTGTTTGTATCTTAACACAGAAAAAATTACATAGAAGACAACAATTACTGGGTCACTTATGGTGAATTTGTAGAGAGAGAGAGAGAGATGGATTGCTACATTTAAACATATTTTAATGTATTTTAAAGTAAAGTGATAAAATCAGGAACAGGCTGAAAATCAACTTCCTTTATGTAAGCTGATATCAAAACAAAGTGAACACTTGGGGGAAGATGGGACCTGGAATGATATACAACTAAAATGATAGGAAATAGTTACATGTTATAGTTACATGTTATAAATCATGTGAACTAGAAAATGTAGTCTACTAAAGACCTGGATGTTTAATTATTACAAATAGCAACTAACTGAAAGAGGGGGTATTTCTTCTACCTAGAACTTTGTTTATAGGATATAAGTATGCTTCTAAATAAGTGGCAAACAGCAAGCAAAAGCCAAGCAAAAGAGATTCCTTCCACTAATATTTCTAGGTAGAATATTGGCAGTTTGATCCAAAGTCCCAAGAGGCTATTCAGTGTCTTACAATTATGATTTTCCGTTTTGCCTCACTGGCACCAGGAAGGACATTGCCTTGTCTCAGCACACAGGATCAGAAATCAGATTAAATGTAGATAAGCACCAACACAGGCAACTTTAATATAGCACTAAAACATATATGGGCTGTCCTCATCCTAAAAAATTTCCTGTTACTTTCGGTACATTAATATGGACATCCAATTAAAAGGTCATATTGTATCTGAAGTGCAGAGGGCTAGATGTGCGGCTACAGGTTGCCATTCTAGTACTGTTAACATATGAGATTATAGATGCTGTCATGAGTAAAGGTTTTAATTTTGCATGTGGACTATACTGTAAGGATGGCCAAATCTGTCAAGTTCAGTTTGCTGAAATTGAGATTTTTTTTTTTCAGATTTGCATCACAATTTATATAAACTTTGGTGCACTTCTTCAAATGTATACATTTTGGTTAGTGATGCTGTCTAATACACAGCTTTCGCAAACATCTTTCTTTAATATAATGATTTTTTTGCATATTGTATGTTGTACATTTGCACAATATTGTTCATTACTGTACCCCAAGTGAATCTAAAATGACTCTCCTATTTTGGTGATGTTTGGAGGGTGGGCAAGGAAATGTAATCTTCCTTTCCAGTAAATACAATACATTCACATTCAAATGTGAACAGAATAGTTTTCTTTTTCATTTTATTTGACTTCTATATTCCAGAAGTCCAGGGTACATATGCCCATGACCATCATCATTTGAAAATGACAGCAATGTATAAGTTTTATTTTATTTATTTACTTACTTACATTTATTGGCTGCCCAACTCCACTGGACTCTAAATGAGCAATTAGCTTGTTAATTTCCACATGTATGTAGAACTTGGAAAGTGTGAACTGAGATCTCAATATCCCTCGAGTTGGGTGGAAATATCTAATCAATGTTTGCATTTTCTTTCAGTTTCTGGATGGAGCGTAACAGAGCAGTACCTACAATGCTATTTTATAAATGAGTGGACGTGTCTGATGCTGTAAAAACTACCTACTTGTAGAACAAGTATCTTCACTACTCTCTTTAACTCTTTAACACTGTACAAATGGAAAGAAACATAGTTGTACAGACTGTTAACAGAATATAAAGATTGGCAGAAGCTACAAGTTACTGAGCATAATGATTTACTTCATGAGTTCATTTAATTCTTATTAAATCCTACGTAAAAATATATTGATGTGAATATTTAAACATTAATTCAATTGCCTTTCCTATCATGTTCATCTGAATTATTTCTGGTTCTTAATCTAATTATTCCCACAAGTTATATGAACCCAGTTCCAGTATTTAAATGTCATAAATCAAATCCTAGATGATACACTCCAGTAGATGTTTTGGCTTCCTTTTACAGTTGTTCATCCTGAACATGAAAGGGTTAGACTTACAGTTCCTGTCTTACAGTTCTTTGTAAGAAGGTTGTGTTTTGAAGAGCGTTGTCATCATTAAAAAGAAGACAGCTCTAGTTCTTGCCAGCTAATTTGAAAAGTTGACAGTCCAAACTTGACACTTTCCTTGCCAAGTAAATGTCTCTGTGCAGCAGTCGGGATATTTGGTTGTAAATCCCATTATTCCAACTTTGACACATGTTTACTTTGTGCTACCGTGTCACCTGCAAGCAAAGGAAAAGAGGAATGTGAGAATCATATGTATAAATATTGTTGCTGGTAATTGGCTTTAAAACCTCTTCAGAAGGCTTAAATAATCAGAATGAAAATAAAACATATACAAAGGTAAAACCAATTCAGTAGCCTCATAGTCATACCTTTGCAGTGATATCTGAGACGATCAATGGCTTGGGAAAGAGGTGAGTCTTAACCAGCTGACAAAATGTAGAGGATGCTAGATGTGCTCTAGCAACAGAAGCGGTCCAACTGCAGACGGTCAGTCACAAGAATCAGCCTTGGCATTTGTGTAAATTCACCCCATGTACTGAGCAGGATGCAATGTACCGTAAATGATGTGCAATCAGATCATCCTCTCTTTTCTTACTTTTCCCATTTTCACTCCTGAAGGAAGATGAGAAACTTCCAATCCTGGTTTTCAGTGAACTGCAGTTTGACATTGTGGTAAATATGGCAAACTGGGGGAAACTGACCTTCTGTTCTCAAGCCAAAACCTGAAGCTAGACTCAAAGTGTTTTGGGATTCTGTGCAAGTCCTTCTTCCTAGAGATTCACCAAATACTGAGCACTTGTGATAGTATTGTGTTGATTTTTCCCCTTAGTTTTTCAGAAAGTGGGATCTGGTTTTAAGTGTTTTGGATTTTATTGATGGACTTTCTAAATCCATATTCCTCTTGATGGGTATCATTTTACACTGTGAATTTCCCTTCAGCTAAAAGTACAAAGACGTTGGGAATGTACACCTATATTTACAAAACACAAGTTATTTATAAGTAAAGTTCATATTTTATTTTATTTTATTTTATTTATTTCATTTTATTCAATTTATATGGCCACCCATCTCAAGTTTATGACTCTGGGCAGCTAACATTGTTAAAAAGTATAAAAGCATAACAAAAAACACACATAAAACAGCAGCTAGAGTGAAAACAGCCCCTTTAGTCACAAATTAATATAACCAATGCTTGGGCTCAGCCCCACCTCCTGACCTCCAGGCCCGGTGGCAAAACCAAGTTTTTAAGGCCGGCAGGGTCAGGACCAATCTGATCGTGAAAGGTGGGGGCGGAAATGAAGTTCCAAAGGCTTTGTGCCATGTTAGAAAATGTTCTCCTCTTGGGCCCAGCCAGATGGCCTTCCTTAGCAGACAGAACCTGAACCTCTTCTACTGGATTTAATGGGACAGGTAGAAATAGTGGGGACAGGCAGTCTCTCAAATAACCTGGCCCCATTTTGTGCCTTTGAAAGAATAAGAGAGTAATTAGGGTACTGCTTTGTTACTCAACAAGAGCTAAAGCAGGGGTTCCCAATCCGTAGTCCAGAGACCATTGGTAAAAGTTTGTAAGGGAAGTGCAAGTGCTCCATGGCACAGGGACATTTTTCTTAATGGATCAAATCTTGCAAATACCAATTGTTCCAATTTTGGAAGATTTCAGGCACGAATATGATATCTCAAGAAGCTTGCTGGGTATTTCAATTAAAAATTGCAAATTAATTGTAACTGAAAGTGACAACCTATGAATGTGGTCTAGGGGAATCATGTGCAACATGGAGCCTTGTCTTCAAAACTTTTCATGAAATGAGTGGTGTACATGAAGGAAATGGTCCAAGTAAAGGGAAAGAAGGTAACAGCTGAAGGATTGGTAGGACTCTGGAATCAGAGAACGAAGGGCTTTATGCAGACAGTTAGGTAAATGCAGACAAATGATAAGGAATATCTGAGAGCTTTCGTTTGTTTCCAATAACTACCTTGGCTTTATGCTTTCTCCATGCTTTATGTACATTTTAAAACAGCTCTGTTAGTTATGCCCAGTGAATATCAACAATAAAGTACAATCCATTGATTTTTATTTAGTTTTGTAATCCCTTCAAAACTGGTTTATCTGTGTGCTAGAATTCATCTTGTCCAAGAAGTTATTGTAGCTATTAACAACATGCAAAAGCATCATTATCCAAGGTTTTTGTACATGCTTCTCTTTTTAATTTTCTCATCAAATGTCCCACAGTGCTGCTGAAAGGACTAAGCTCTTTTTAAAGAAGCTGAACCCTCCCTTACTAACAGCTTTGAGCTGCTTTTCAAATACCTAATCATTTGTAAGGAGATTTTCATGCATTATCTTCAGAATAATGTCCTCATTTCCCACCTCTGTAATCCATACGGTCAATAAAGAAATTGGATGCTCAGTCTGTCTGGCTGTCACACTGGTTAACCATTTGCAAACTATTTTTTAAAAATATTTTTAATACCGCATAAATTACATCAGCATTGGCTTTTCTATCATCATTGGAGTTTGAAAGATTTCATAAAACTGGTTACTCCCATCAACTTGCTGCAATGGATTTTCCTCATTTTTTTCTTTACTGGCCCTATTTTAACCAAGGGTTGGAAATCCTATGTGGTGCAATTTCTGAACCTGTATGCCATGGTGATGTTGTCCACAATCTAAACAGTTATTCACATTTTAATCTGCTAACGAAGATACCTGCATTCTGGGCATTGATTCCCCACTCACCAAGGGATACTAACATCAAGTCTTATATTAGAGTTTTGTTTAAGTGTTTAGCAACCCTCAGAAATTACCAGGTTGCACCAACTCCTACAACTTGCACATAGAGATGTCTTCTAGGTTGCCCTAGTGATTCTGAATGGATAAATGCCAGAATTGCACAGATGCTTTGGACATCCAAAGAATTATATCTACTTTGACAATATTCCAGATACCTTTAATTACCAAAAAATTTAAAATACCAAGAGTCCAAATTGATATTTCTCCAGACCAGAGGCCTTGAGAGGGAGGGAGCAGGGACTCCATCTTTTCAAAGCATCACCCTCTGTTGGTGTAACATTCAGTATGCTGGTGAACGGATCTGGGAAGGCCTGATTTCCCCTCCCAAATCCTCATCCATGATACTAATCAAGTTTAGAAACATTTACTTCTCAACTGCATAGGGACTTGCTCAGTTGAGGGACTTGTTCCAGTCCTTTCATCATTTTAGTTGCATTTGTCTGTAACTTTTCCTTTCCTAAAATGTCTTTTACATGCAATAAGCAAAATAGCACATAGTATTTTAACCTTTGGGCTGTTGTTGTTTTGGTATAGATGCATCAGGATAATGGCAGCTTTATTTTCAGACTTTTTCCTGGTAATTCCCAATATAGAATTTGCCTTTTAAACAGCATTATATATTTTACTTATTTTTTTATTTATTCAAATTTATTCGCCGCCTAACTCAATGGACTCTGGGCAGTGTACAAAACTTGGGAAAAAACATAAAAACAAATAAAGACATTAAACCAAACAGATAACCCAGACTGAAATAATCTTACACGCAACAAAAATCAAACAAGACCCTAGACAGACAATAAGACATCAACCCCAGGCTTGGGACCAAAGCCAGGTTTTCAGAGCTTTCTGGAACCCCAGGAGAGAGGTTCCAGACCATCCTGATCTCTGGGGGGATGCTACTCCAGAGGGTAGGGGCCACAACAGGGAAGGCACACTTCCTAAATCCCACAAGATGGCAACATTTAATGGAGGGGACCTGGGGTGCACTGACTCTGCTGTAACATACTGGGAGGGCAGAAACAGTTGCAGGCAAGCAGTCCCTCAGATATCCAGGCCCTATGCCATTCAGGGCTTTATAGATAGTAACCAGCACCTTGAATTGCACTCAGAAGTCAACTGGCAACCAGTGCAGTTTGCGTAGCAGTGGATACACATGGGCACACTGAGAGGCACCCATTACTGCTTGCACTGCTGCAATTTGAACCAGCTGTAGCTTCTGCGTGCCCCATGTAGAGTGCATTGTAATACTCTAACTGTGAGATGACCAGGGCATGAGTAACTGTCTAAATATTTAACACTGCTGTTATAATTTCCAAGGAAATAAAATGGAAGTGTCATTTATACACAGAGATACATAACTTTATAAAGCATTTTTGCTTGGACTGATAACATCAGCAATAACTCCTTAGAGAGAGTGAAGCAGCACAGAAATGATAGTAAATAACTAAACCTTTTTTAAAAATCTAGAATTATTCTTTAAGTAAATAACAGTAACTATCAACTGTTCGTGATGTTTTGATGAGTTCTATTTTTACGTATGGAACAGCCAGATAAAGTGAGCTGCTCTTTTGAAAATCTGGCAGTCTAAAAATTGTATGTCTCAACTCACAATCAGGCCTTCATGTCAAGAAAAGAAGATGGAGTTGCAGTTAAACACACAAAAAGTCAATCTGCACATTGCACTAACTTAGAGCTTGTTTAAACAACTGGCTAGGTTCATATATTGTATAAACCATGCTTTACTATGGTTGTGTTCATATGATATGCTAAGCCAATACTAAAAAAATTATATTGTGGCTTAGCATAAGGACCAATCCAAGCCAAAGAGGTAGAAAGTACATAGGAATGGATGAGAATGTCATCCATTTAATGCTAGGAGTGAAAGCCTTCATCTATTTTCCTTCTAATCTGCCCTTAAAACAGATGGAAATCTGCATTCGACTGCATTTCTATGCATTGCTCCGCTCTCCTGTTGCTGTACTCATTTTGATAAGGAGATGAGGGCTGTTTTCCTGTGCCTGTTCTTTCGCACAATCATTCAGTTGGAAGGGCCATTTAGGCCACTGAGTCCCCCTCTGTGCAAGATTTCAGATCAAAGCACCCACAAGAGAGGCTTTATTCTTTAAAAATTTAAAACACAGCACCTGCCATGCAAGATAAAAATCTTTCTGACAATGTGCAAGTGTATTATATTGTGGTGTTCTCTTCTGGTTGATAAGATAGGGCTGTCCCGCTGGACCTAGGAGGTCAGCCAACTTACAAAATACTGACCAGGGAAGTAATGTGCTTTCACTTAAGCCCTGGTTTTTGGAGCTATTGCAAATAACTTTAAATTGTAAGTGTAAAAGAGGTGGTGGGGGGCAGAATGCTTGTTGCCCTTAGGAGTTTTACCTCCTATACTATCTATTTATCTTTCATCTATAAAGGGGTTTGTTTGTGCCTGTGTATGAGCGTGTATGTAGGGGTGTGCAGGTACAGATGCAGGTGTGCGCAGGTGTTTCTGAATGGAGAGATGCCTTTTGATAATGAACTGCTTCTGCAGTCCTGGCAAGCCCAGAAGGGAACTAACTGAGCCAGTTCATTCATTGTTATGCATATCCAAATCCACAGTATGAAAAGAAGCTTAGGGGCCTTATCTGAATATCCCTGGCCCTTGTTTTTCTCTCCAAGTGAAAAGCATACTTAGACACTAACAAGAAACATGGAAAAGCCTCATCACAGGCAAATTAGCAAATTAAAGATACTTGCAGCACCTTTGGGTGCAATGCTAACCCATTAAGATCAAAGTGAGCTTTGCCACTGACTTCACTGGGATGCAGAGTGCACACTTGGGGCTCTCTTCTTTGAAGAGGGGAGTTAATAGCTTGTTACTTTAATGAAGCAAAGCCAGTTAAGGGCACTCCTGGGTGCTAATTCAGCACAGTAGTTAATCTCAAACTATAGATGTGCACAAAAGGCCAAATCAGACTTGGAATCTACATTCACACATATGAAGAAGGTGAAACCATTTACGCTCATTTCCCGTCTATATAGGTCTGCCAGTTCTTTTGCCTCTGCCCAACACCTCACGGACTTTGTTTTGTTTAGATTGCATTGGATTCTGGTGACTTCCCCATGGGTGTGGACAACTCATATGCTTACACTTACCAGTTGTGCTTTGAGTCTCTTGTATCAGCCTTATATCATTCTTTTTGGTAGCTTACACCTAAAATCAGCTTAGGACAGTGTTGTTCAAACTTGGCCACTTTAAGATGAGTGGACTTCAACTCCCAGAAT